GGGGGGAGGGGCAGGAGTGGGGCAAGGTGGGAAGCCCATTCTTCTAACCTCTCCCTTGGTGGATGCCCATGGCCACAAGCCCTGGGAGTTCAAAGCCTGGAGGTGGTGAGGGGGTGGCACTCCAGCTTTCCCCTCGAGTGTCCTATTAAGTTATTCCCAGGCTATTAAGTGGGCTTGGGAGGGCGCCCATGTGGAGGGATGTGGCCACTAGCTCAAGGTCCCACTCAGAGAGGATGTGGCTGGATGCTGACAAGACAGGTCTTATAAAAGAGGCGAGCCCCAATTAAGGGCTTACGCTGAAGCAGAAGACATAAAAGGGACCGGTGCCCAGCAACCTGTCTCACGTCTCCATGACGTAGGCCCTTGGCTCACAGCAGATGCTCAATCAGTGGTGGTCCTCTATCCTACTTCCTTTCTTGGCCGCCCCTCCAGCCTTATCTCCCTACATCCCCATCCTCCTGCCCCCCAAGCCCTACACTCCTGGATCTGCATCTGGTGCTTTGAAACAGTGCTTCCCAAAGATGGTACCTGCTGCTCCACTCCCATGACAGGAGGGCCCAAGGTCCTCACCTCACAGCTCTGGTCCTGATTATCTCAAACTTTAGCCTTCGTTCCTTCGCTTCTCTCTCATCCTCCATCCATCCACCTAATCCTTCCACTATATTTACTGGGCTCTTCTCTGGTCTAGGCAGTGGGAATCTGGACAGCAGAGAGGCAGAAGAGCGTCCCGGGTAAGAGCCTAGAGTCTGAAGCCTGGCCACCTGGGTTCAAATCCAGCTCCACCACCAGCTGTGTGACTTGGGATTGTCACTCTTCTATCCTTCTGGTCCTCAGTCCCTTAGTAGTAACACAAGGAGAAAGACAGTCCCTATTGCATGAGGCTGATGTGGCGCTGAAGTGATTAAGTAAGAGCGGAGGGCGGAGAACACACCTGACATGTGGCGAGAGTCTGTAAGTATTAGCCTGTGTGTTACACAGTCTATAACAGACACTGGAACACCAAAGCATAGGTCTAAAATCAAAGAACTACTGATAATAAGGTACTGATAATTAAATAACTTCTTTTAAACATCCACCTCTGTTCTTGGGACCAGGTGCCAGGTGGATTCATCTGGATGCTGATGAATGAGGTGGCCCCTACCTGGAAAAGGTGTTGTCGAAGATGAGCATGTAGATGCCTGGTGTGCGGACCTTGAGCTGGCCCTGGATGTTCTCCTTGTGGGAATTGCATCGGGTTGTGGGAATGAGCACCTGGGAGACAAAGCAGATAGGAAAAGTGAAACAGAAGCTGAGAGGGCACCATGGATCCTCTGGGACGACTCTTTATCTTGGGGAAGGAAACTGAGGCCCAGGGAAGCTGAGTGCCTGCCTCGTCTAAAGGTCACAGCTGAGCAGGGTTGGGGCTGAGATCAGCCCCCAGGATTGGTGGGGTACCTTCCACATGCCCTGGGTTTGTCGATAACTTGAGAAAGTGGGGAGGCTGTAGACACGAGTTTCATCCAGAATCATGAATTGGTCAGCATCCCAAAAGAATGGTCCTCCAGCCTCCTCTGACCATGGCCAGTGCAGAATGCTCCACCATTCAGAGGAACAGCCCCCTTCTGGCTTCAGGAAGGTGAGGCTTATTCTAGGTGAAATCCTGCCTGGCTCTTTCCTTTGCGCTGGTGCTGCTACCCTTGGGGGTCTCACAGGACAGGCCGAGCCCTCTTTCCACATCTCTCAAGCACTTTGTGAAGCTGCTGGGCCCACTTTCCTCCAGGCTGACCACCCCTGGCTCCACCCGCGGCTTCTCACTTGGCCCCAGTTGGTCCATATGCCTCAGAGCCCTTTCATCTTTCCAAGTCTCCGGCTTCCTCTCTATCTCCTCCGAGAATGAGAAATTAATCCCAGGAGACATTTATTTTCTAAGGGCCTCACTGTAAGAGGCCAAATCTGAGCAAATGGTGTGAGCTGGACAGGGCCAGGGCTGGGGTCTACGGATGGCCAACCTCTTTCCCATGGGCAGAGTCTTCAACCTGTTAGCCAGCTAAGATACTTTAAAACTGAAAATATGACAGGAATTAACACAAGAGCCAACCAAAATTAAAAACGTTTTTTTTTGAAGGGATAAGCACTTAGAGACACTTAGAGACAAGACCCTCTAAGGGGTCTTAGAGGGTCTTGTCTCATTAAGCATCCATAAGCCTCACATTTGGGACTACACATAAATGGTCACGCAGACCATGTAACATCTTAGCAACAGGTTCCTAAGGTGGTGAGCTGCCCCACAATGTAAAAATCTTCATTCTCTACAAAATTAAATGTTGCTCCTTTTTTGGAAATTCAATTTTTGTTAAATTTAGTTTTAATTTTTTCCTATTAAACATTTTTCAACCTGTGCAAAATGACTGAATCCAAAATAGTTATAAAGATGTGATTACTTTTTCAACTCAAACTTGAATACAGCTACCTATTTCTTGAAACACTACATGGTGGCCATAAAGTTCCCAAAGTGAAGTAAGTTCCCAGAAAAGGCTCTGCTGCCCTTAAGGATCTTGGTTTAATGGTGACAACAATTATGTTGGGTGAGACTGTCACGAGGGGTCTATCGGGGAGGGGTATCTATCCCAGCCTCTGGGTGGGAGGGAGGAGAGGCAGAATCAGGGAAGACTTCCTGGAAGAGGCAACACTGAGCTTGGACAATTTAGCTAGTTATAGGGAGGTCTGGCAGCTCCAGGCAGCAGGGACAACATATTCAAAAGCATGGGAGAATGGCTAAGATTTACCCTCTCAAGTAATAACCAAAACCGACAAAATATACAAAACAGTTTTTAAGACACTGTACATCAGGCAATGATGGACAGTGATCTGTGAGAGAACAAGGTGGGCCCTGCAACTGCCCTAGTTTACTGCTTTGACAGGAAAAGAGAACAAGAAGCAGATCGAACAAATAAAAAACAGTAAGATGAGAGACCCAAACCTAACCTTATTGACAATCACATTAAATGTAAGTAGGCTAAACATCCCAATTGAAAGGCAGGTATTATCACGTTGGCTAAAAGCAAGCCCCGACCCCATCATGCCTACAAGAAATACAATTTAAATGTAAAGATACAAAGAAGTTAAAAGGATGTAAGAAGATATACCATGACAACACTAGTCAAAAGAAAGAGGGGGGGCTTCCCTGGTGGCGCAGTGGTTGAGAGTCTGCCTGCCGATGCAGGGGACACGGGTTTGTGCCCCGTTCCGGGAGGATCCCACGTGCCGCGGAGCGGCTGGGCCCGTGAGCCATGGCAACTGAGCCTGCACGTCCGGAGCCTGTGCTCCGCAACGGGAGAGGCCACAACAGGGTGCCCCGTTCGGGAGGATCCCACGTGCCGCGGAGCGGCTGGGCCCGTGAGCCATGGCAACTGAGCCCGCACGTCCGGTGCCTGTGCTCCGCAACGGGAGAGGCCACGACAGTGAGAGGCCCGCGTACCGCAAAAAAAAAAAGAAAGAGGGATTGACTATATTAATATCAAAGTAGATTTTTACATCAAAGAATGTGGCCAGGGACAGTTTCATAATGATAAAGATGTCAATTTCATCAAGGGGACAAAACAATCCTAAACATTTATGCCCCTAATGACAGAGCTTCAACACATATGAAGCAAAAAGTGGTAGAGTTACAAGGAGAAATAGAATAAATTCATAATTATAGTTGGATATTTTAATGTCCCTCAATAATTGATGAAATAAGTAGACAGGAACTCAGTAGGGAAATAGAAGAACACTACCAACTGACTTGATCTAAATGATACGTATAGAACACTCCACCCAACAATAGCAGAACACACATGCTTTTCAAGCGTACTTGAAACATTCACCAGGTAGGCCATATTCTAGGCCATTAAAAAAAACCAAACAAACCAAAACTTACATTTAAAAGGATTCAAACTATACAAAGTGCATTTTCTGACAATGGAATTAAGTAAGAAAAAAAAAAGCAGTTGCCTGGAAAATCCCCAAATATTTGGACGCTAAGTAACATATGGGTCAGAGAGAAGTCAAGAGGGAGATCCCAAAGGCATGGGAGAGAGAGACAGCACACAGTATGTTCCTGACACCACAGTACATGTGCTCTGGCTGGAAGCTGGTGGTGGTGAGGGAGTAGGACGGGCCCAAGACAAGCCTGGAGGGGACAAAGATGCATGAGGACCTACTATGCGTGGGCTCTGTGGCAGCTGCTTCTTATCTCACCAAGTTCCATTAATGTTCTACAATATTCTAATTCCACTGGGGACTGAGAATCCTGGGAGGCTGGGTGGCTGGGTCTGTCCCCGTGATGCATAACCTAAAAATTCTGAGCCTGGCCTAAGATACTTCAGCAACCACATGTAGGAGGAAGTGCTGGGGAGAAAGGCTTGCTGTTTACACAGGGACGCCTGTGTGCCCCGCACCTCAACCTTCCCACACAGTACTTTGATTACAAAGCAAAACCCAAGAGCTTGTTAAGGCAGATCCTCTGAAGAGGACATGTGTAAGACAATACTCTTCATTTCTTTAAACAGTCCACTCTATGGACTTTTGGTTCATTCCAGCTGCTGTTTTTTCTACCACGGTCAAAATCTGTAAGACTGATTTTAAAATCAATCAATCAAAACGTCTAGGGGAGATTAATGAAGGCTCTGGTGTCAAAGCCCATACAGCAGAGGTGACGGGAGATGACTGGGGTCTCATGTAACCCTGAGCGAGACACGTCTCTGCTGTGTGACCTCTGGGGGCATCTCCCATCAGCCTCCAGTGCTTGGGCGCCCATGACCTGATTTATGTGATATGTCTGCAAAATAGTCCAAGTTGGTTTTACTGCTTTATCGAGGGACTCTAGTGACCTGGCGGCCTGGTACAGAGCCAGGGTTCTATGTTAAATGGAAAAAGTCAGTCTCAGAAGGCCACATATTGCATGATTCCATTCACATGAAATGTCCAGAACAGGGAATCTGTAAGGACAGAAGGTAGGTTGGTGGGTGCCGGGTGGAGGTTGGGGAGTGACTGCTAATGGGCACAGGGTTTCTTTTTGTTTTGGGGGATGATGAAAATGATCTAAAATCAGACAGTGGTGATGGTTACACAAGTCTGTGATATAATACTGAAATAACAGTGAATTGCACATTTTAAATGGGTGAATTATATGGTGTGTAAATTATACCTCAATAAAGCTGTTTAAAAAATAAAGTCAAGGGTCCTTGCTCCCAGTAGCCTCAGGCAGGCCTCTGAGCTTCTCTGGCCAAAGAGAGAGGCAGGGCCTCTGTCTTCTTCCCTGACTTGTCCCAGGCTTCAGGGCAGCAGTCTGCACATGGGTAGCCTCAAGTCCTTGATTTACCGCTTCTTTCATGAAGTGCTTCCCAAAGTCACAGTCTCTAATCTCAGTGTTGAGGCATGGCCTTGATAGAGGAGGTCCCACTGGAGAGAGGGTGGTCCCGGGTGGGAGTGTCTGACATGCCCCTAGAGATGGGACTGGCCTCCCATGCTGTTCCCTCCACCTGTATGCTTTTCCTCTAACCCATGTCCCCCTGCCATCCCCTCCCCACAGCTTTTCTTGGTTTGGCCCAGGAGACTCCTGCCCCGATCACTGCTCCCCAGGTTAGGTGCCTGCCCCCCACCCCCAAGTGCCACCCCACCATGACAGTCACCACCTGGAAAAACAGTTGTTTCTTTCTTTCTTCCCCCCCACCCCCAGTTTTTTTTTTTTTTTTTCACAGTTGTTTTTTTTAATAAGGTCTCTCTCTGATCACACCATGAGCTCCTCAAGGGCAGATCCCATGCTGTTCCTTCTCTCTTTATCCCCAGTAGGCCCACCCTACAGAGCCCAGTATACCGCATACACTAAATGGTTGTGAACAGAGTGCAAGTACACAGCATAGCTCCTCATGCCTGAACCTCCACAATCACGAAACCTGAGTGTTGCAATCTGCACTATGTCCCATTGTTCCCAATAAGGTCCAGTCTGGTCAGGGCATCATACGGGGAGTCCCCAGGATAGATGCTAAAGGTGTGAGCCTGGACGTAGGTTCTCCAGGTTGATGTCTGTACGGGACCTCAGGCAGACAAAACAGCCATCCCCACAGCTGGCTGGTGATAGTCGGGCCTGTGACGGCAGAGGAGCACCTGAGCACCCTTCTCACCCACCCTGCAGATGGGCTCCTTCTGCCCCCTGGCGTCCACTGTGGGAAAGACAATGGTAACTATATCCTTCAGGCAATAAGGGAGCCAGAGATGAGGATGGCTCCTGGGCGTCCCTGAGCTCCTGATTCCTGGGAGGAACCACACAGGTCTCCCAGGGCCATGAGGATTAGGCTGGTGAGTGACCGAGCAAGGAGAGAGGCGTGGAGACTGCATCTAGTCACCTCCCTCTCTCCCTCGCACAAATATCCACCAGTATCTAACGTGGGCAGACACAGTGCGAGGCGCTCGGTGGGCGTTGGGAACAGGAGGTGAACAGCGAAGGTGCTGGTGCTGAGTTCCAGGTGGTGCAGCTGGTTGCTAGTGCAGAGCTGAGAAGCACGCTGCTTAATCTGCTGCCCAACCAACTGCCCAGGCAGGCCGCTCTGCACCCGAGTTTCCTCATCAGCAAGGTGGGACTAAGACCTGCCTCACAGACCGAGACGTGCCCAGGTGGCAGCAGTGAGCCTGAATCCACTCTCTGACCACAAGCCCAGGACCGCCCGGGTGGACGTTCAGAACCGCTCGGGAAGGAAGGGCTCCGAAGCTACATGTGTGGTGTGGCTGTGAGCCTCCAAAAGGAAAAGAGGGGCAGAGCAGTTTTTAAATAAGCACGAGCATGAGACTCCAATAATCAAGGCCAACTCAGGGGGGCTAGAATTAAATTTAAGGAGTGAATTTGAAGAGGACGGAAATGACAAAGCAATCTCTATAATAGGCAGATACCACCAGGACAGGGATGGCAGGAGAGCAAACACAGATGGACACATGTCCCCCCCATGTGGATACCGAAGCTGGAGCGGCGACCTGTGTGCCCAGCGTGCCCGAGCCTGGCCCTCCTGGGGCTCTGGGCCTTCCCCAGCCCTCACCGCGAGCCCCTTAGGACACCCAGAGGACCACAAGCGTGAGGGACCAGTGGGTGTCATCGCGGACACTTCACAGAGGGCTTCTTTCACACAACTTCAAATTGCTCCTCTCTAGCTTCATTCTTAGAAAATGGAGATTTTGTATTAAAAGTCTTGGATCTACCCGGAGCTCCAATCCAGCCTGTGTGACTGTCCTCACTATTCCTTCCACTCACAGTGATTCAAATGGAACTCGTGTTTCCACCCAAACCAGCTCTCTCCATCATCCCCTGGCACCCTCCCGGCAGAGACTCAGGTGTGGAATTCAGACCCTCCCTCTTCCTCGGCCCACAGTGAATCAGCCTCCACGGAGGCCTGTTCATTGTCCTGTGCTCTGCATCCTACTCCATCCTTTCTACTCTTCTTCCCCTTGAGCTAAACCAGTGGCTCTCAACCTTGATTGCCCACTGGGACCATCTAAGGATGCCTGGATCCCCCTTAGAGATTCTGGTTTACTGGTCTGCGGTGTGGACTCAGAAGTGTGTTTTAAAAAGCTTCCCAGGGCTTCCCTGGTGGTGCAGTGGTTAAGAATCCGCCTGCCAATGCAGGGGACATGGGTTCAAGCCCTGGTCCGGGAAGATCCCACATGCCACGGAGCAACTAAGCCCACGCGCCACAACTACTGAGCCTGCCCTCTAGAGCCTGTGAGCCACAACTACTGAAGCCCGCATGCCTAGAGCCCGTGCTCTGCAACAAGAGAAGCCACTGCGATGAGAAGCCCGTGCACCACAATGAAGAGTAGACCCCGCTCGCCGCAACTAGAGAAAGCACGCGCACAGCAACGAAGACCCAATACAGCCAAAAATAAATAAAATAAAAAAATTTATTTAAAAAAAAGCTTCCCGGGTATTTCTAACGTGTGGCCAAGGTTGAGAACTATGGTCCCGGCCACTGTCAATGTCCCATGTTTAGAATGTCTCAGGAGTTTATGAACTGGTATCTGCCACGAAGATTTCCAGCCCAACCACCCAAGTGACACAATGGCTATGAGCCTCTACTGACCTTTCTGAGGTGAGATGCTGAACACCCTGAGCTCACAACCAGAAGCAAAGATCTTGGTCCCCACCTCCCACGATGACCCGTTCTTGCTCGGCACGGCTCTGTTAAAGAAATGATCCTTAAACTGAGTCACACGTCTGTATTCCTTTCAGCGTCACCTACTGACCTATTCCAAGGTCAGTCTGAAGCTGGCCCAGGGCTGGGCCTCACACACTACAGAAGACAGCTCCTCCCCCAGGCTGGACAAGCCCAGGTGTGTTGCCTGCTCTGCATGATGCAGCCCAGGGGCTTTTCCCACTCTGGTCTCTCTGTGGCCCTCTCAGAACATCCCGGCTAAGCTCTGCCCGGGGAATCCTGCTGGCAGGGAGATGGCCTCACCTTACATTGATCCAGCGGCGTGTCCTCTGCCTCCCGGTACACCACACTGAAGGAGATACTCCTGGGGTCAGAGGAGAAGACCCAGCTGATGGTGAGGCCTGCCTCGGCCACAGTGATGGGGATGAGGCTATAGGTACTGGACCTCACAAACAGCTCCCTGTTGCCCTCCCCGAAGCTGGTGATCTCTTCCACTGTGAGGGGTAATTTTATCCTAAAATACGAATGCAGAGAGGGACTTGATCAAAGCAGGGAAAGCGTTTGAGCCCACTGGCCAGGTTGTCTGTGACTTCGAGGTGACTGGAAACCCTGGAGGCTCTTGGGAGGACAAGCCCTGGGTCACCATGACTGACACGCTTAAACATGGGAGAATTCTTGATGGGCAGCTCACGCCATCAGATGTTTCCTGAGCACTTACTAGGTGCCTGGCATAGCTCTAGGCACTGGGGACACAGAAGTAAAAAATATAGATGATGATCCTTGCCCGTGAGGAGCTGGTGTGGTCCCCGCAAGCCGGCTGGAACTGAGAGGACGGCCTGGGCCGCTCTGTGCCCCTCAAGGACGGGAAGCGCGTGCCGAGGCCTCAGCTTTCTGCAGCTCTCCTGCAGCTGCCCTGCGGCTCAGCTGTCCGCTCTTTCTCTCCCCTTTCTCCTTCCAGTTCCTCGCCTCCCACTTCTACCTAACTAGCACCAGAAGTAAGCACACGCGTCGTTTGAAACCTCCTGCCCTTTCGGTCAGTCGTCCCTCTTTTCAGCGGAAATCCAGGGCCTGCCAAAAAATTCCAAGCAGGCACCCTGACTTTTCATAAATGCAAACACCCCAGACTCTTTAATGCAGGGTAGTCTGACGGCCCTGGGGAGACAGGCTTCTTGGGGCTGTGTCCCTATTCTAACTCTCATTAGCTGGATTAAGAGCCAGTTCCAAAAGTTTAAAGGGTTTAGGGACAGTGAGTTTCTCTGCAGGACCCAGAGAACCCGGTGCTGGTACCTGCCTCGCTTCTCATGTGCCGCAGGGCTCACCCTCATGCCAGCCTCAGGTTCCTCACCTGCAGACAGGGACAACCACGCCTGCCTCTGGCGGGTGTGACAGTTACGTTAGAAGATGAACCTGTGCTGGAGGGCAAAGTCTCCCTGATTAAGCGGTGCCTCCTCCTGCCCAGCAAACCCAGAGGCAGCAGGTGAGCGAGGGCCACGAGGGCAGGGCCTCCAGTGCGGGGCTGCAGCTCAGGAGCGTGCGGCCCTGGACGGTCCCATCTCCTCTCCTCAACTGTGCAAGGGCTAACTCTCCTCGCCAGCGTCGGGTGTTGTCACAAGGGCTGTGTGAGGAAGCATGATGCTCCCGTCTACACACGAGGAAGCTAAGATTCAAAAAGACTAAGCAACTCTATCCAGGTCTGATCCAAAGCCATTGCCTTTCTACTACACCAAACTGCCTTTCATGGACAAAAATATTACTGTCCCCTTTAACACAGGGGTGGAAACCAAAACTCAGAGAGGGTAGGGAACTTGCCCAAGACTGCACAGCAAATAAGTGGTGGTGCTAAGAATTCTGTTGGCTCCAAAGGCGTAGAGGTGAATGGGAATACTCCCCAAGCTTTGCAAATGAGAAGACTAATCAATGATTAGAAAACCAAAATGCTCTAAGGAACAGCTCTGATATAGGTCATTCACCTGTGTAAAAATTTAATTCCATGGACCATTTTCCCATGTGTTAATTTAAGCTTTATTGCTAATTATAGTAAAAAAAAGGTCTTGTCTAATATTTACAATTTTCAAGAATCCGCAAGTAGGCAGAAGGGTCCATTTTGGAAAAGAGGTCTCTTACAACATGGAAATCTTGCTGCATTACTTACTCTGACAGGGTGCCCCACTAACGCTGGGTCATTTCACAATTTTACATTCCAGAATTCTCCCCTTGCACTGAGTTACTTGGATTGTGCCTTTAATCTTTTTTACCTTTCTAGACCTCATCTGTTCAGTGAGAGGACAATACTCGGTCTCGCCAAAGGAGATGCTAATAAAAAGAAATCAAGGGTTTGCCATCTCTGCTCAAATATAAGCTTAAATAAAAGAAGTCTGTTGTCCATAAGACTCACATCATAAATGTAAATTCAACTGGTCTCCCTACTTCTGTCCCTTCATAGTCATTCTCCACATGGCAACTAGAGTGACCCCTTTTATAATGTAAATTATATTAAGTCACACTTCTGTTCCAAATCTAATTTTAAAGCTCCCATTCCCCTCAGATTAAAAGCCAAGGTCCTTACAATGGCCAAGAAGGTCTGATGTGACGTGGGCCCTGTTCCCTCTCTGACCCAGTCTCCTTCCCTCTTTCTGCTTCAGTCACACTGACCCTATCCCTATTCCTTAAACACACCAGACACCATCCTGCCCCAGGGCCTTTGCACTGACTGTTCCTTCTGCCGGAATGCTGTCCCTCACATATCTGCATGAAAACTCCTTCAATTCGTGCCTTCTTAGCGTTTTCTATTTAAAATTGCAACCCCACAAACGTATGGACACCAAGGGGGAAAAGCAGGCGTGGGGTGGTGGTGATGGTAGTGGTGGTGGGATGAACTGGGAGACTGGGATTGACATATATACACTAATATGTATAAAATAGATAACTAATTTAAAAAATTAAGGAAAAATAAAATTGCAAACCCTCCCCCCTAATCCTACTCTTTGTTTCTTTTCCAAAGCAAGCACCACCTTGTAACATACTATATAATTTACTTATTTACTGATGTTTATTGTCTGTCACCCCTGCTGGAATGTAAAGTGAACATGAGGGCAGGAATCTTTGTCTGCTTTGTTCACTGATGTGCTCTAAGGACCTAGAAGAGTATCTAGCACATAGTAGGTGCTGGATAAATATCTGTGAATGAGTGACTGAATCTACTCAATGACCATAATGCAATCATGCAGCCATTCGTCACAACACTGGAGAAAAAGAATGATATGGGGAAATACTCATGCAATATTAAGTTTAAAAAGACTGTGAAATAAGATGTAGGGTATTTGTTTAGGTTGAAAAATTAGGTATATTAGTATAAACAAGACTGGAAGGCTATATCCAAAGTGGTTTGCTTATCCCTGTTTCCTGATTTTCTACAAGGAAAATTTTCTTACAATAAGCAAATAAAGTTATTTTCAAAAAGGAAGAACACAGGACATAGGGGTGGGGGAAGGATGAGTATAAAAGGACGGGGGAGCTTTTTGGGGTGATGGAACTGTTCTATATCTTCACTCCGGTCAATTTTCTTTTCCGGACCTAGGTTTCCTCTTTGGCAGACTTGGGAGTGGAGCTGGTTGGGTGCTGAGGCCTGAGACTGTAAAGCCACTGGCAGAGCTCGATGTGGGGGCTGGCAGATGCCTGGTGATTACACTGGATTACTTGTCAAAATCCAAGCACCGTATACTACAAATGGGGACCTTTACTGTATATAAATTTTACAAAAGGAAGGAAGGAAGGAAGGAAGGAAGGAAGGAAGGAAGGAAGGAAGGAAGAGAGGAAGGAAGAAAAAGAAGCGCGCACACACACACACACACACACACACACACACACACACACAAAGAAGCACAAACTTGAAAACCACCATGGGTTCCAAGTCTGAGCCTCTGGGGTGCTTTCCAGCTGGGACACCGGAAGGCCAGGCCTCCTCTGGTGTTCCTCCTCCCCCAAAGTGACACCCTGGGAAGTCCAGCTTGGGGGCCCATCACTTACATCAGTTCTCCCGACTTCAGCAAGCAGATTTCAGCATCCTGCCCCACGGGCATGTCTTCAGTGTCCTCAGGGGTTAGCGAGTTTGACGTGGTGTCCCTGAAATGTCACAAACGAGAACACAGCCAGTTAGCTAACAGCACACAGGGTCCCGCATCCTGAAGCCCGTAGTCTTGGAGTCTGGTAGCCAATCTCAGAATGCACGGGGAACCCTTCAATCATGGAGGCCAGGACAGAGGCCCCGCAGACTCTGTGGGTGGGGAGCCATGGGGGCCAGGCCCAGGCAGGCAGGACAGGGAGGGAAGACAACAGGGCTGCAGTGACTTCCCCAGTGTCTTCCCGGTGGGCATGGGATGGGTGACCACAGCACAGATGGACCACCCTCCTGTCCCACGCCAGCAGAGCTACGGCCACGGGGTAAGTTTCCAGTACCACTGACGCTGCCTTTTCAGCGCCAGTCCCTGACTAGACAAGCCTGCTCTGGCCCATCTCTGGGGAACAAGGACAGGCACCCAGAGCTGATGAGGCAGGAAGCGGCATGGCCTGAGAAGGAGGTTGTGGGACAGAGACTCATACAAAGGGGGCAGATCCACGCCACATCTCCTCTTCCCTCACAACCCACTGTCTGCTGTGCGGAGAACCAGCTGTGGGAGCTGCCTGGCAGTACAGAGGTGCCATGGTTCCCAAAGTGTGCTCTGTGGAACACCACTGCCAGGGGACGGGAACCCTGCACTCTTCCTTAGAAACTCATGGCATTCTTAAACAGTAAATTCCAGGCTCTGAGATGTCCTGCAGTAAAGACATCTATTAATTTTCTTTTAATATTTATTTTCCTTATTTTTTTGGCTGCGTCAGGTCTTAGTTGTGGCACACGGGATCTTTGTTGAGGCATGCGGGATCTTTCGTTACGGTGCACGGGCTCTTCGCTAGTTGCAGCGTTCGGGGCTTCTCTCTAGTTGTGGCGTGGGGGTTTTCTCGCTCTAGTTGTGGCACGCAGGCTCCAGGGCGCGTGGGCTCTGTAGTTGTGGTGCACGGGCTCTGTAGTTGAGGCACACGAGCTCAGTAGTTGCGGCACGCAGGATTAGTTGCCCCACAGCATGTGGGAGCTTAGTTCCCTGACCAGGGATCAAACTCGAGTCCCCCGCATTGGAAGGCGGATTCTTTACCACTGGACCACCAGGGAAGTCCCAGGACATCTAGTAAATTTTAACTCTAGCATTCCCATGGAACATTTTTAACCCCTGCTGAGTTGCTGATCCTCGGAGCAGGACCCACACTTCACTGATGGGGACACAGAGGCCCAGGCAGGTCTTGAGAGGCAGGGCCAGAGCCAGACACCCTGACTCCAGCTCAGTGCTAATCTTGCTGGGTCCCACGCCCACTGTGGCCAATCGCTTACATGAGCTCAGGGATCTCAAACCCAACCAGCTCCAGTGTCCAATGCTGCCTGAGAAGAACCTAGGTCCAGGAAAGGGAAATGATTTGCTGATTTGCCCCATGGGAAGGGGTTAATGAGGAAGATCTCCTGAGCAGCATGGCTTTTTCCCAAAATGCTGTGATAATTCCCTTCTCAACTGTCCTAGTAGGCTCTCCCCAGATGTTTCTGGGGTGAGGTCAATAGGCCCCAAAATGCCCTCACCCAGTTCTGCTCCCCCATCCCACCCCCTACACACGCCCCTGGGCTCTCACCAGCCTGGCCCCCGGGCACATTCACTCAACCTCTGAGGCCCTGTGCGAACTTGTGTGAACTGAGACCTGCCTTACCCTCACCCTGCCTGCTGCTGAGTGGGTCCTGAGGCGGCGGCCCAGCACTGCGCAGGACACGTGAGGCGGGCACAAGCCCTACCCCACAGACGCGCTCCCTCTGAGGCAGGGACAGACAGCTGCGGCCTGACTGGAAGGAGGCCTCAGCACATACAGCGCATGCGAGGTCAGCGGCTGACAGCAAGCATCCAGACCACGCCTTCAGACGGCCCTCCTCACCTACCCTCACACCCACTTGGGCACCAAGTTCACGGCTGCCCCTAGAGTGGACCTACAACTTACGCTGGGAAACTGGTGTGCTTCTCTGAGAGTGCTATCTGGGCTGCGGCCAGGTGTGATGCCTGGGGAGGGGCTCTGCAGCTTTCCTAGGGAGTTAACAGACCCTGAATCCCAGAGCTCAGGTGAGCCTGGGACCTCACATCATCTCTGGAACGTGAGAAATACAAGAGAGCACAGTGGGTGGCCAGACCCTAACGCTCACAGAGCTTCTGGCTGGAGGTGGCGGCCACCGCCTCTGCTCAGAACTGGTTCTCACCACACTGCTCCTCACATTTCACTGCCGGGTGGGTCCCGTGGCCAAACACGCCACAGCAGGGGCATGAGGCTCATCCTTCCACAGGGAGAGGCACTAACAATGGGCAGAGATGCACAACCCGCCCATGGGGAGGGGCAGCAGATACCGACCCCCGAAGTCTACGCCCTGTGTCTGAGGCCTGAGGCTCCTCACTCAGTCAGCAGGACGCTGGGAAGGTCCCGGGAGCACCCAGGTGCTCTTCATGGGGATGCGAAGACGGGTGGTTCAGAGTTGGCAAAATCCAGTGAGTCTCGCCTAAGTCTGTCCCAGATGCCACTCAACCCTGAGGGCAGGAATATCTGTGCAACATGCAGTGCGCCTGCAGCAACCATGATGCACCAAGAGTTTGGGGTCAGCGACTGGTGGTGTCACCCCAGGGGCTGTGACAGACGTGGCACCTGCAGCTCGCTCCCACCCCCCACGCTCCTGCACCCCATACTCCTCCCCGGCTCCCACGTGTCACAGCCCTGCTCACGCTGGGCTTTGCCTATCTGCTTTTGGGTCTTATCTCCCCCTGGTCCACATGCTTTTTGCAAGCAGGGGCTGTGGCTGGGCTTTCCCTGTCCCAAAGGACAGGTCACTGCCATGTGCAGGAACCAAAGAATGTCTGTGCTACTTGCTAAGAAACATACGTGGGGGCGTAAGTCGTTAGTGTGTAAATTCAGGATGAAAGTGCAGAGGTAATGCTGATGAAATCAAGAAAAGAATCAGCAACAGATCCTGAAGGAGGAAGACCCCGAGTCACACATGGAGTGGCAGAAGCTGGGTTAGCAGAGCCACACCTGGGGACAAACTGCAGCACCTTCACCTCGAACAGGACTTTCTCAGACACAAAACAGACTGTTCGCCGCCAACTTCCAAAGTTTCTCTGTCTGGAGGACAGCACTGCACGGGGGGAGGACTCCGTCCTCTCTGGAAATCTCTGAGCTCGAGACTTGGCTTCATTCAGACAGCTGGACATCATGCCTGCTCGCTCTGCCACATGGCCCTGCTTCCCGGCCTCGCTCCTGTCTACTGCTGGAGCGCTGAGGCCGCTGGCTGTGACAAGCTGCTCAGGGCACTGCTGCTCAGGGCTGGAGGTGGTGGCTGGTACGGGGGCCTCCAGGGCTGCCTAGATAATCAGACGCCCACTAGCACTCAGGTGTCAGGTGGGCTGTCTGTGCGCAGTCTACATCAGCCCACGGCAGGTGGGAGAGCGCGTCCTCACAAACATCTCGCCCTCAGCGCTGAGGCCTAACCAGTGGGTTCCCTCTGGCTGTAGCTCACTGTGGCTCCAGAGGGCAGGGGAGGTGGCATGGCTCAGGGGAGAGGGGTATCACTCCAAGGTGGTCCCAGTCTTGGCTTTATGACTGTGACTCTGGGTGAGCCCTTTCCTCCTCTGAGACCTCAGATTTCTCCTTTCTAAATGGGAGGAGATAGAACCGGATGGACTCCAAGTTTTGTTGGCTTAAAAAGGCTGTAAGTTTCAAAGGACTTGGAGAAGGCGTTTTACTGGCTGGGAAAGAGGTGGGCTCGCTCTGGTCGGCAGCTCGTGCCCTCAGCCTTCCCTATGCTTCCCAAGGAAGGTACAGCAAGAACATGTCCTCAAGTGCCTGCTGCCACCAAGGGCAAGCCTTGTCACTCCTTTTTCTCCCCAGTCCAGCCCACCTCTGACCTCCTTCCTGTCCAACACCTCTTTCTTGTTCATCTTCCAGTCGCTGGCTTCCAGATTCCCCCACCCCCATCACAGAATATCAGTGCGAGATGAAGCTCAAAGGACCATCCAGTCCAACCCCACTTCATGGCTTAAGGAGGCAGGGGCCAGGGGAGAGGAGACGGGCCCAAGGCCACTCAGGCCTGCCTCGTTTCATTTGCTCTCATCCTTGTGCAAAGTGCAAGTACCATAAATGAGAAAGATAAATAACATATGATGAAACGAACTCAGAAAACTGTGGTTGGTTCTCTCATATTTCCTCATTAAGAATAAAAGACGTCGGGAATTCCCTGGTGGTCCAGTGGCTGGGACTCCGCATTCCCACTGCAAGGGGCACGGGTTCGATCCCTGGTTGGGGAACTAAGATTCCACAAGTCGTGGGGTGCAGCCAAAAAAACCCCAAGATGTCCTAATCTTTTGTTCCCTCTCCTCCTCCATCTCCCCACCTCTCTGACCATCATGACACAGACAACCCTATTACTAGAGTAGGTCCTGCAACCCTTGCTAGTCCTGGCTGAGGGCCTACATGGGGGAGCTTTGTGAGGTGGGAATGGGAGATAGGTGGAGGTGGAAGTGTGCATGGGTGGGTGATGCAGTCTCAAAGGCAACGATTAGGGACACAGAGTTTCCTTTCAATGGCTTTTCAAACTGTGGGTCATGACCCATTCAGTCAGTTGTGAATCAATTTAGTAAGTTATGACGAATAGTAAAAGAAATAGGATAGAGAGGGCAGACAGCAGAAGCAAGAAGAACTACAATTCTGCAGCCTGTGGAACAAAAACCGCACTCATAGAAAGATAGACAAGATGAAAAGGCAGAGGGCTATGTACCAGGTGAAGGAACAAGATAAAACCCCAGAAAAACAACTAAATGAAGTGGAGATAGGAAACCTTCCAGAAAAAGAATTCAGAATAATGATAGTGAAGATGATCCAGGACCTCGGAAAAACAATGGAGGCAAAGATCGAGAAGATGCAAAAAATGTTTAACAAAGACCCAGAAGAATTAAAGAACAAACAAACAGAGACCAACAATACAATAACTGAAATGAAGACTACACTAGAAGGAA